TTATATCAAACGGTTCATTTAGTTCAATGAAGTTATTTATATTAATAGCCATAAAAGTACTTATGATTAGCAATTATAAAAATATAATGTGTCTGCAACATTATTTAGGGATGAAAAAACAACGTCAAAGCTATATATAAAAATTGAGGGAAGAATTGCTATACAATGTAAATTTGTCAATGTCAATGTACATATTGCATGAAACCGTCAGGTACACAGGACTGGCTACTACGGCGCCACCTATTTGGAAACGATAATTAATTATTTTGCTACCTTTTGTAATAAGAAATGAAGACAAGACAAGTGCATGTTCACTAAATTATAAGAGATACCCATGAAACTATCTAGTAAGCCATATTGAGAGTAGGAGCCTGTAGAGGTTACGGTCGTCTGTCATTGTATAATTCAATGAAAGTTCTTTCTGTTGTATAATTTCATATCTAATTTGTTATCCTGGAGGCCTTTTTAAACTTACTTTACGGATTGAGTTTTTCTCATTGCCGTTTTTTTTCTTTGTATCGATCTGATGAGTCAAGACATTTTCAACTGATTGATAGTTTCTTCTTATGTTGTGCTATTACACCACTGTCACAGGTTAGGTGGAGGGTTGGAATCAAGCAAACATGTTTAAACCACCTTTCCCACATTCTCTGTGTGCCTGTCCCAAGTCAGGAACTTGCAATTCAGTGGTTGTAGTTTGTTGTTGTATCGTGTATATCATATTTGGTTTTTTTTTGTGATTTTTTATATAAATCATGCCGCTGTTTTTCCCCTCGTTTGAACTGCTTAAAATTTTGTCATGTCGAGGACTTTCAATGTGAATGGATTTTGCTCATTGTTGAAGGCCGTACGGTGACCTATATTTACGTACATCTACGTCATTTGATCTGTGATAGATAGTTTTCTCATTGGCAACCATACCACATCTCCTTATTTTGTAATGAATATTCATTTCACTCGTATGCACTCATATATACCACATCTTCTTTTATCTATTAACTCATCAGATCGATACAAAGAAGAAAAACATCAACCATAAACACAGACCGGACGTGGTAGGGTATTTATCCATTCCTCATCCCTAACAACAAAAAGGACACTAAATACAGATCTGAGAGTACTCGCAGTTACTTAGTTCAAATTAATCCAATAACAACTAATAAAAAAATCATGTATCTAAGACTAAAACCATTTGAATCTAGGTAATAGTTATGTAAATTTTTTGATTGGTATTCATTTACAAAGTGTAAAGAGTGACGAATATTGCAACAAACAGGTCTATTCTGAAGGAAAAGTTACCATCTATTTAAAAGTACTTGATTCAAAACAAATTTTTAACCTGTTATTGATACTAGTAAGGAAGATATTTGCTGACTTCCTCTGCATTTTAAAACAATAAGATGTATACTAGACTAGTTATAACAACACATAAAACATTCACTTAACAAACATGGTCTGTATTGATACGCAAAGGAATTATATAATAATTCAGTTTGAGTGAAACGTCTGCAACAGAAGTTATCATTTATTTAAAATGGGTGTCGTCAGGGAGTTTTAATGATAAAAAAACGATATATTTTTGTTTACAAGACAAAAACATAGTCCTTAATGGCACCATCTTATATTGTTCTAAAGCAATTCATATTGGGTCTTAACTTATTTTAAAAACTTATAGATTTAAACAATCAGATGATAGTTGTAAAAGCTTATAGATTTAAACAATCAGATGAGAGTCATAAAAGCTTATAGATTTAAACAATCAGATGAGTGGCGTAAAAGCTTATAGATTTAAACAATCAGATGAGTGTCGTAAAAGCTTATAGATTTAAACAATCAGATGAGAGTCATAAAAGCTTATAGATTTAAACAATCAGATGAGTGTCGTAAAAGTTTATAGAATGTCGAACTGGGCGTTTTAATGTTCTCATAATGATAAAAAGTCTATAAATTCTGACGAAACAACATGTTACTTGTTGGCACCAATTTATATAACTTTTCTATTGCAATTCATGTAAGAACTGAACTTAATTTTAAAGTAAAGAGATTATGTAAATCAAAATACCGTACATTGTAAATATGGTGTTGTCCTAAGTCAGGAGCCTGTTGTTCAGTGGTTGTCGTTTGTTGGTGTGGTTCATAGGTGTTCTCGTTTCTCGTTTTTTATATAGATTAGACCGTTGGTTTTCCTGTTTGAATTGTTTTACATTAGTCATGTTGGGGCCCTTTATAGCTTGCTGTTCGGTGTGAGCCAAGGCTCCGTGTTGAAGGCCGTGTTTTGACCTATAATTGTTAACTTTTTTATACATTGTGACTTGGATGGAGAGTTGTCTCATTGGCACTCATACCACATCTTCTTATTTATATTTAGATCATAAACACAATTCTAAACACACTTTTTGTGGACTTTTTTTTACACATGTAGGTCTAAACCTGTCTCTGTTCTAGGTTGACAATGTGTTCTGGGTTGTTTTTAGGGATCGTGTTTAGCATAGAAATTACTGTTTTAGTCCTAAAACCACATTTAAAAGTATAATATTGAAGATATGAGTACATTTAATGTGCTTACTTAGAAATGGACATAATCCTAAACACGTTTAGAACTAAACATGTAATGCAAGTATTTATTGTCTAAGTTCACAATGTATCATGACATGTTTTTATGTGTCAGTATCCCTGCTGGTACCGTAGTTACTATCCAGCCGGTACCCAGCGTGCATAAGTTAAGAGACTGTGTTTCAATTTTCTGTTTCTCGTTAGATTTTGGTATTTTCCTTTTATGTTAAAACTTGTGCTTCTATGATGTTGTCTCATTGACGTATATCCCACATCTTTGTTTTTCATAAATATACACTGAATTGTAAAATACCATTGGAAAAAAGTAAGTCCATAATTATATTGTAATCTCGTTATACTGAAACCTTGTCTTTTGATCCATGTCATTTATAGATAACATTGGACGAATGTGTATTGCCGCTAATATCAGAGAGAGAGAGAGATCAGAGATATATGCTCGTACAAGATAGATTTCTTTGACAGCAAGTGAGTCAAAAGTGAATGGTGTACCTTTGAGAGCTAGTGTTACTTAACTTTTTAAACTAATGCTTTATTGTAATTTAGATTGATTGAAACACTGACTTTTTACCCGGTAATACACTGTGAGTTTGAGATGAAGAACTGCAATGAAAGCGCTGTTCCTTTGTTTTTGTGTTTTTTTGCTGTGCATGTACTGATTTTGTGTCATTGATCATGAATATCCCATATCCTTTCTTTTCTATTATGAACAGGATAAAAGGAATGAACATATATAATAGACAGTGCAACCGACCATACCAACAATCAACACCAGGCTCCTCCTAGAAAATAGACAGACAACAACAACTAACACATGAACTAAAACATGAACAAAATGTGGCGGGATTAAACCAGTTTTAGGAACGCAACACACCCCCTTCAGCTATTTCGACCATGTGTCGTATAAGTAAAGCACACTTAAAAAACGAAACTGCCAACATAAATATTACACATAATAATTTTATAGATAAAACTGAAATTCAGCTATATTGCATATAACTTGCCAATTTTACAGAAAAAAAAAACAATAACTAAATTGTATATCAATTAAGCAGGTGCGAGTTATGATGTCTGTACATTGTACCCATGCACAATTTGTTATCCGGTTAACTCTGGCTTGTTTACAAAAATGCGGATAAATATGTACTAAATATTCACTGAATACTGTTAATTTTGGAGAGGAAATGTTTTTTTTCTATCTGTCTTTCCATCGCCCGTCTGACCGTCACAAATGTTTGTCAACGCAGTTTTATTCTTAAATAAATGATGAATTCATTAGACAATTAGGAAACAATCATCAGACTGGATAACAGCCTGTTTGTCACTTGTAATTGTGTACGCCAGACACGCGTTTCTTCAGTGCGACTCAACAGCGATGCTCGAATAAAAAAGAGAAAAGGCCAAATCAAGAACGAAGTTGAAGAGCATTAGGGACTCTAAATCTAGAAAATATTGCCAAATACAGCTAAGGGAATCTATTCCTAGGGTATAATATCCTTAGTATTTTGAACAATTCAAAGTTTTGTAAATAGTCAACAGTTTATTTCTGAATATGAGTATGTCAATGAGATTGCATGTCAACACAGAGAAAATAAATAAATCAAAAAAGCAATGACTTGTAGTTGTGTTATTTTATACGCCTTTCCCATTCTTCAAGGTTTGTTTTTCTTAAATTTTGGCTTAATTCTTTTTGTTTCAATGAATTCAAGGCCTCCCTTGAGATACTTCAAAATTTTCTTTGACGTCATAATATTTAACAGACACTTATCAGGCGTACTACAGGTTGATTTGCACCAAAGAAAATCTATAGTTTTCAAGGAAACCCAAAATGACACCAATTAATAATAATACGACATGTTTGGTTTGTTCCGTTGCCCTTATTCGCAAGAAAGAAAAAAAGACGTAATTTTGTGATATGATTTTGAGTTATCAATTTATTACAAGTACATCCATATTGGTCAAGCAGGGAATACAACTTAACGAACACAAAAACACAACATATTTATGAAGTGCAGTGCTGTTAAACTTGACAATCTAGGGTGAATTTTCCCTCGATTATTTGTGAACAATTATGCATTAAAACGGAATAAATTCCGGATTAAGACGATTTTCTTCTGGTTAGACATTGATTCAAGTACAATGGACATCACCTGAGTACTGCATGGATATTCAGGACAAAATTTTGATCCAGAGAGAACACTCAGACAACATTGGATGGAGTTCTCCATTTCTGTATTGTCTCATTTTCGAGGCCATTTTCTCTTTTCTTTATTTTACCCAGTTTCCTCTATGTTATTACATTTTAGCACCTAATTATTCTCTTTCTATATTTTCTCTAATCATTCTCCATTTTAATATTATTTGGCTCATTTTTCTACACCCCACCCCCTTTCCCCATTCAGATCATCTAAAATGTTGTAGTTACTCACCCCGACTTTGCAGATGTCTGCCAATCAGAGAAACACTTCCTACAAGAGTAAAAAAAGACTAATGAGATGATCTTTAATAAACCTTTTTTGTAGCTGTCTTGAAAAAAGTTATACAAAGTGACAATCAAAACTCACAAATCGACGATGGACATAAAACAATATGGTAACTAGAAAAGAAAAAAGACAAACAAACAATAGTCCACCAAATAATGAATATAAATCTTAAGGTTATATACGCACCATGAACCCCACCAAAAATATCAGTGAAGCACTTAGTACATACAATAGTCAACATCATGGTCAATAAAAAAGACCCAAACACCAATAGACTAAATAATATCGAAATCTTAAAGATTGCGTACGCATCACGAACCCAACCAAAATATCAGGGAGGAACTCGGTAAACACAACAGTTAACAACATGGCCAATGAAAAAGAACAAAGACGAACAAACAACTGCCCACAAATAATAAATAGAAACCTTAAGATTGCGTACGCATCACGAACCCCACCCAACAGTTAACAACATGGCCAATGAAAAAAAATCAAAGACGAACAAACAAATGTCCACCAATAATAAATAGAATTCTCAGGATTGCGTACGCATCATGAACCCCACCACCTATTCAATGAAAAAGACCCAAACAACAGTAGACCAAATAATAAATAAAAACTTAAGATTATGTACGCCCCACGAACCCCACCAAAATACTTGGGAGGAAATTGGTACATACAATAGTCAACACCATGGTCAATAAAAAGGAAAAGACAAATAAACAGTCTACTAAATAATAATTATATGTACGCACCACGAACCCCACCAAAATATCAGGGAGGTACTTGGTACATACGTAACAATAGTCCACCAATGAAAAAGACAAACGATAAACAGACAACAGTCCACCACATAATGAAATTATAGCAAATTAGATATTGCACAACACAAACCCCACCAAGAAATACCGGGGATGAACTAGGTGCACCGGAAGAGTTTTGACCATGGTGTAATCTGTCATTCAATAAGCGGGAAAAGCGAGAAAAGGTGCAAAGAGGCGGTAGATATTCATAAGTCCAAAAGGCGGGAAAAAACACAAAGAGGGCGATAAAAATTCATAAGTCCAAAAGGCGGGAAAAGACACAAAGAGGGCGATTGAAATTCATTTATTATAAGTCCAAAAGGCGGTAAAAAGACACAACTTGAGAGGGCGATAGAAAATCATAAGTCCAAAAAGCGGAAAAAGACATAAAAAGGACGGTTGAAATGCATATGTCCAATAAAAACAGACAACATCATGGCCAAAAATAAAAACAACGAAAAGACTAAATGTCTTTCTTCGACTCATGGTTTAAAATTAGACTTTTTTCGTATTACCGACTTTTGACTCCATAGTACTAGTATATAATTTAACGACAGGTTACCTTCTATGTGGTAGGACAATCTGGTAATCGGTCTAGTAAGAGCAACTAAAAGAAGTAAAATCAAGCTTACAACCGATGCAATTTGTGGAAAAAAATAATTGTTTTCCGATGATTTTGTCGTGTATAAAAAACATAAAACAATTATCCCCCCTCAAAAAAGAATTGCCCCCATTGTAAGCTTGATTCTACTTCTTTTTGTTGCTCTTACTTGACCGAGTACTAGAATGTCGAACCACAAACTGTCGAAATGTTTTTATAACTCGGAGTCAAAAGTCGGTAATATGTAAGTCTGTTTTGTGTCTGTCTTGAAAAAAGTTACATAGTGACAATCAACACTCATAAATCGACGAGGGACAGAAAACAATATGGTAACTTGACAAGAAAAATATATACATGAAATAACTTAATATATGGATAACAATTATCAACACCGTAGTATCTTCCCCACTTTTACCACTAATACTTTGTAAATTAATTCCAAGTACTTATATTAATATAAGTATGTCCTAGAACTGTTCTGTCTTTATTTTCGTAACAAAATTAACTTCATTGCTAGAAAAGAAGTAAATATATATTTAGAGATACGTCAATTACATTATTAGTTAATATTGAAGGACTTTCTAAGTGTCATAATAAGACGTCATTCTCATAGATCATCTCTTGGTGAAATTTTAGTAAGCTATAATTTAGCTTAAGTATTTTAATCAAAACATTTATTTTTGTTGCGAATGACACTCATCTCAAGGTTCTAGTTCAAGACCAAATGCACTGTTCGTATGTGTAAATGTCGAAAACTTTAGACTTATTTAATTTACATCGTTAAAACTGTATTTATCTTGATCATTTCCTATGACCACGCCGAATTGGTTTTAGTTTTTCGGACTCCTTGGCTACTTAAATATCTTAATATTGAAATTTCAACAACAAAAGATGACCCCAACTTATCGATTCAAAGTCCTTTAATTTTTTTTATTTTTTTTATCTAATTTATACTTTTCTAATTAAAAAGGTGAATGCAGAAAGTCCTCAAGATGAAGACAAAATTGGTTGTAAAAACCAGGAAAAAACTAAAATAATAGTATCGCTCGTCTGTTTTAATGCTTTGGGAGGAAACCTGAAAATAACAAACCAAAATTTAAGATTTTTTTTGGTCGGTCTTGTGAATAAGTAATTAATTATATCTTATAGTAGTTTTCGAAATCACTTTAACAAGATCTAACTTGTTGTACTGTCTTTTTTTTTTTTGTCTCTTTTATTTTCTTATTTATTTATTGTCTTTGTTTCACATTTTTCGTATGATCTTGTACCCTAATTTTATTCGGTCACATGAAATACAGATGACTGGAAACCAGTTTTCAATGACGAGGAACATGCATTTAAATGTCATACAATATATATAATAGAAGCATAGAAATCCGCAACAACTCATGACCATTGAGGTTATACATAAAAAGGATAACATGATTTACTAGAAATATTGAACAGTACAAGAGATCACACCAACTACCAACAACCGAATTCTCCGAGAAAATAGAGGTACAAAAAAAGACAAACAACAACGAACAATACATGGTCCATATATAGCTTGACTTGGTACAGGCAAATAATCTAAGGGAGCTTATTAGAAAAGCTGTTTTTTCATCTCCCTTCTAAAACAAAATATATTTCTCAAGAAATCTAGAATCAAATAATTCATTTAACAACCCCCACCTCCACAAAAAACGAATGGTCAAGCTTCATGCACTCAGACATTAATTCAATTCAATGTCAAGGAGTTTATGACGATATATAATTTTAAACGTACTTTAAATGTAATACCTTGAAAATATGAGGACACTTGTGCTATTTGAGTTCTTATAATGATTACTAAGGAATTTGATACTTTATAATATGACGTACTTCAATTTGTGTATTTCCGGAGAAGTTATTTGCAAGGGGTTTAAATATGATATAGCTCTTATCATAAGTTTTACTAGTTATTATTACAGAAGATTATTTGCATTTGTCAATTCGTATATAAACATAAGGAGATGAGGTATAATCGCCAAATGAGAAGACAACTATCCCCCAAAGTTCAAATAAAGTGGATGTAAGCAATTGTAGTCAATCATACGGCCTTCAGCAATAGACCATCTTCATATTACCGACTTTTGACTCCGGATTATATAATTTGTCGACTGGTTACCTTGGACATCATGGTACTCAGTCAAGTAAGAGCAACCACAATAAGTAAAATCAAACATATAATCGGTGTAATTTGAGGGGAAGGTTTACTGTTTTCCGATGATTTTGTAGTGAAAAAAAAATATTAACCAGGTAATTTTCCCCCAAAATTGTACCGATTGAAAGCTTGGTTTTACTTCTTTAGCTTGCTCTTACCTGACTTGGTACCATGATATCCAAGGTAGCCAGTCGACAAATTATATAATCCGGAGTCAAAAGTCGGTAATATGAAAAAAGTCTGTTGGTGACCTTCTGCTGTTGTCTGTTCTATGGTCGGGTTGTTGTCTCTTTGACACATTCCCCATTTCCATTCTCAATTTTATTAGAAAAACCCATACGTATAGTCGGCTATAAAAGGCCCCGATATGAAATATGTGAAAAAAAATCGATTCAGAAAGTCTAACTTATAACAATACAATTTACTGAAAACAAATATGACAGACATGAACCAACGACAACACTGAACTACAGGCTCGTGACTTGGGACAGGCACATATAGAATGTGGCGGGGTTAAACTAGTTTGCTGGCGCCAAACCCTCCCCTAACCTGGGACAGTGGTGTAACAGTACAACATAAGAACAAACTATAAAAATCAGTTGAAAGGGGCTTAACTCATCAGATCAATACAAAGCAGAAAACATCCAACGAAAACACAGAGCGGGCGTAGCAGCGTATCTATACATCCCACAACAAAAACGACACTAAGCCAAGATCTGAGAGTACTCGCAGTTACTGACAGCTAGTTCAAAGCCAATAACAACTAATAAAAATCATGTATCTATAAGACTAAAATGTCATTCAGTACACATCCAACATTCATTGGATTTAGTGTTAAGTATTCATTAACAGTCAGAGAAAAATATGACTTTGTGCAATGCAAAAATACAGGTATCGACAAATTGTAGTACCGTGAAATCTGTGTATAAAAATTATATTTAATATGGTTTTAATTCACTGATACAACAAAATCAATATTTTTACCAATAAAAACAATATTCAAAGATGTAATTACAATGCTGAATTGGTTACCTTTTAGAATCAGTTCTTTTTACCAAGGCCCCTTTTAAATTTTGATTCCATTTGTACCTCATTATAATTATTTTAATTTGCAAGTTAAAGTTTTACATCGTGTTTAGGTATACTTTTGAAATTAAAAGTTCATTATTAAAGGGAAAAAATTACCTAAAGGAGGGGGGAGGACATCACCATAGCAAAAAGAACAAGAGGCTCCAGGGAGCCTGTATCGCTCATCTGGCATTTTTGCCAACAAAATGGGTCCAATGCAACAAGATTATTTGGTGAAAATTTGAGGTTGGTAGAACTTGACAGGTTTTCTCTATCAATTATAGTTTTCAAGATATAAGACAGTTAAGGTATTTTACCCTTATATTCTATG